GAGAGAGAAAGAGGAATTACTTTTGACGTATCTGCTCTCAAGCTTGGACACACCTGCCTGATTGGAATTGCTTGTTAGCCTGCATCAAGGCCAGGTTCACTAAGAGTAAGAAGAAAATGCAAGAGAGATGAGGAGGAGGAGGAGAAGAAATAAAAAAAATGAATAAATAAAAAAAAATTCAACAAATAAATAAATAAATAAAAATTAAACTAACAAATAAATAAATGAGCGTGACCAAGTGTCACAATAGCTGCTGTGCTGTGAGGACCACACTTGCTAACACTGCCTCACTTGCCACTCCACCTCCACCTCTTTCACCTCCCCTGCTGCTGCTGTTGCCTTCTTGTGTGCCCAGACCTTCCTCGTCTTCTAACCCAGTTTCTCTGAAGCTTTCAACTTCAGTTGAGACAGAAGAGCAGCAAGCAGCAATTCTAATACCTACTGATGCTGGTTCTAATCTCCATCCATGCAATATGTCAATTAGAGTTATGACGTCAAGTATATTCTTTCAGGATAACAGCTACAGGCTATGACTGCATAACTAAAGTGCCCCAGGAGATGCTGCAGAGGCTCTATCTGAATCTTCCCTACTTCTCTTAAGCAGGATACTGCAGTCAACACCATACACTGCTCATCTAGAAAGCAAGGACACCTACAATGAAGTGAATCTTTAAAAGGTGCATTCTAGTCTCATGACTGGTGTGGGACAATGCAGGTTGTAAGATTTCTTGCCAGAGAAAGCATTGCAAGGGCATTTGCATGACATGCCAGCTCCATTCACAAGAGTCAGGTCCTTTATACTAAGAAGTTATAGAGAAGGCCAGGGAATAAATGAGGAAGTACTACATCTAAGAGTTTGTCCAATATCTCAACAAGCAAGAAAATGTCAGCATTGAAGTGCCCTATGGCAATACTAGGATGATGGATTGGCACCAGTTGCACATCAGTTTGTGTCTCATTGTTGATGTGCATAAAAGTACAGTTATAGATGTGGAAATGCTGTCAAATCACCCTTTACATATGGTAGGCAAAGAGGCACTGAAGAGGCATGTCTGCTAAGGGCACTTCTTCAGGAAGTCTGGCAGCATGGAAGCTGAGGGAGTTGTACCACTGTGGTCCAGGTCAACAGAACATCCCATGAAGTATACAGGCTTTGTTTGGGATTGGGATTTCCTGCACCTATATATCTGTATTTCATATGGAATGAGGGGTGTACACCATGATGAATCCATCATCAAAGTGATGTATAAATCCTGGGAGCATGAGAATGGATTTATGGTTCTAGAAGATAAAGAAGGGGAAACAGCATGATAATCATGATGAAGACTGAGATAACAGTGTAGTGAAGCATTCTAGACAGTGCCAACATGATGACAGAATAAATCAAAGATGTCACAATATAATGGAAAGACCATCTGTGATAACATTGGCATCAACTACAAATGTATGAGGAAGGCCATCTGGGTATCTTATTACCATATGATGTCATATGGTGAAAACCCTGGCCATTAAGCTTTGTCCTCCTGGTGCTTCATTGTGGCATTTCTACAACAGAGTCAAGGCCCTTAACAAGACATCCGAGAGCCATGTCTTGAAGCTGTACCTGTTAAAAATTCCTTATGAGAAGTTAAAACTTATCACAGAAGTATAGAGACCTCAAAACATCAGTACTCCTCCACAGATGCCTTAACCCTATGATCTGAATGATGTTACGGTCCTGTCATGGAAAAATCTGGGCCGTAGGCCAGGTGATGCTGCAGGTTGTATTATGGAAAAATGAAAATTACGAAAAAATAAAATGACACAAATAACCAAATTTTCCATTATGCAAACTTGATTTGACTCATTTGCCGCTTAGAAAGGGGCTTTAGCATTATTCCCATTGATAAACAAATGAGGAATGTAAGGTGCTTAAGCCATGACTGGAAAAGCGCTGGCTTCAGGGAGGATGCCATTTCAATGCTGTGCAACATATTCCTGGCCACTGAGGTGGTGCCGTAGGCCAGGTGATGCTGCAGGTTGTATTATGGAAAAATGAAAATTACGAAAAAATAAAATGACACAAATAACCAAATTTTCCATTTTATTTTTTTTTCTTGCACTTAGTTATTTACTACATAGAGAGATGATATGGAGTCTGTTCAATGTAAATAATCTATTACCATCTGGATAAAGCAAATCAAAAGACAAATATAGACATTGGAAAATGTCAAAAAAGCAAAAACGCTAAAAGCTAAAAGCTAAAAAAAAAAAAGTTTACAAACAATAACTTTTCAAAGGGGAGTCTTGCCTTGTCACCTCTCATGAGTGTTCACACGTGCCTGGCCTATGCGCTGCACGCTTGGGGTGTTGGCTACTTACGTAAACCCACTACCCAAATTTTCGGCACTGTGTTTTCCGTGACGCAACCAGATCCAACTGGTTAAAGAAGTCACCCAGAACCCAAAAGAATTACTCTATTTGTGGCCAAGACAATGAAGGCAAAGCATGCAGGTTGTCTTCTTGGCCACAGTGACTGTCTTGGGACACAAATTGGGCAGCAAGGCAACCTGAAGACTTATATGTTTAGGACCCCCCAACATCAAAGGCAACTGATGAATCAGAGGCAGACACTGAATGAGTTGGAAAGCTGAAGAGGCATCCAGCAAATTGGAAGATCAGCTTCAGCACTGACTATGAACCTGGATATTCCAAGTCTCTTAACCCATTCGTTCCGGGTGTTACATATACGAGACACCGGAAAAAATAAACATTGCCGGGCGGCCCGCCAGTGTCACGCTGTATCGGGGCTGTGCTCCGACGCAGCAGCGGCGCGCAGCCGGGCGGGCGGACAGACTCCGGAAGCTCCGGCCGCCGATTTTTGTAGCCGCCTGGATTTTTTATTTTGGCTAAAAAATTTACCCGGCGTGAGTGGGTTAACCCAATAGCACCGGGAAAAAAAAAAAAAAAAAAAAAAAAAAAAAAAAAAAAAGAAAAAAAAAAAAGAAAGAAAGAAAGAAAGAAAAAGATCATGATCACAGGTTTATTGGTGCATGTCCACAGTTTCCTGTTTACGACTGGCTCATTTGGTAGTTTGTGGGCAACATTAGGCACCTAAAAGCTTGTATTTTGATATATCATTAAAATGTATCAAATTTTTGAAGGTTTACCTCGACTTTGGGTGCTATTGCCTAAAAGTTTTACCATAGAACCATGAGGCATGGTTTCCTGTTTACGACTGGCTCATTTGGTAGTTTGTGGGCAACATTAGGCACCTAAAAGCTTGTATTTTGATATATCATTAAAATGTATCAAATTTTTGAAGGTTTACCTCGACTTTGGGTGCTATTGCCTAAAAGTTTTACCATAGAAATGATACCACTACTGTTGGGGAAAAACAAGCTCCGTCCAATGAGCCGATGGCACAGGAAGGGTCGTGTTTGATGCTACCACAACAGCCATGGCATATATGTACATTCCACCTGGTGGGAAGCAGTTCAACCTAATAACAATGGGGGAGGTGGCACTTCCTAATACCCACACTTTGAAAAGGGGAACCAGGTGCATGCAAGTCTCTAAAATGCCATGAGAATAAAGATGATACTCCTGTTATTGAAAAAATCCACATAAACTTGCTGAAAATAACAGACTGAGCAATAAATGTGCTCACAATGCTCCAACAAATTTACTATTTTTTGATAAATAGAACATCTGAGGTAAAACACCTCAACAGCCCCAAGGAAAGATATGTGAAAAAGCAAGTGTGAATATCAGGGTCACATATGACAAGACTGAAACAGGTTAGAATTCACCTACATGTATACTGTTCTAGGACAAATAATCCCCCTTCACCAAATGAGTTTTGAGCGATGAGAGGGTCATTAACCCACTTACAGTGGGTGTCACACATATGAGACATCCGGGAAAATAAACATTACCAAGCTAAATTGGAGCTTGCGCTCTGATTTTGTTGCCCGTGGCGGGCGGCGTGGGCAGGTTCCCAGAGTCACCCAAGCACTGTTTTTGAAGCCGCCCAAAAATTATTAGTTTTGGCTTGAAAATGTACCGTTGCTAGTGGGTTAAGGACAGAAAATCATAAGCCTACATAGAAAACACAGCAACTAAATGCAACACTTTAGTATTTTTTCATAATCTTCAAAGTACTAGCTCAAGCTCTGGTTGTGAGAATAAAAATTATTTAACAAAAAAACAGTACTTTACCCCTTTGTCTCATACTAACCTTAAGGAGGAGTGCTTCCCAGATTAAGAACCACTGTCTGAACCTATCCATTGGAGTATAGGACACAGGAGTTGTTTTTAATGTTGTTTTTTCATTATCTTTTGTATGTTATATAGTGAGAATTATAGGATGTGGTCCAATCATGGCACTCATGCATAAATATTTTTTTTTTTCTAAAGGCTACATGAGCCATCAATTTGCCAAAGTACAGGCTCTCTCCATTTGAATGATTGTTTGTACCAGTGCTAGTTTTGCAACTTCAGTCATTGCTTGCTGTGCATAAGCATTCTTTGTGGCTTTATTTACAAAAATATGATAAAACATCTTTTGAGGAGGAGGGCTCTTCCCTTGCATGAGAATGGCATGATAGATGACTTCTCCCCACTGTCTGATATGCTTTGAAGAATGAAGTGGAAGCCAGACAAGGTGTCAAGATAACCTTGATGCCTGAGTTCTGGTCAAAATCTTGACAATCTATTATATTTTGACACCTAGGTGCAATTACTTGGACATTTGCATTAGCATAAGAGGCCAAGATGTTAACCCATTCATGCTAAGGAAACCAGGCTCAAATGCTGGGTGGCAAATACCCATAGCATGTCAGACCTACTCAAAGTTGTGTGTATCATACATATACTTATTAGTATGGCCTGTACTATAGTCACTTAAAGAGGTGTGGCCCCATGAAAGTAGACACTCTTTTTAGCTACATTTCTTGTATATTTTGAAACCAAAAGCACTGATAGTAGAATAAAAGTATGTTGTCCACCCATCAAATTTTTCAGTCAAGCACCTGACTGTGTGTTATCTAGCACCAGGCTTGATATAGTGTAGCGAGAGACCATCATCACTGGGGGAAATGTGGGAAACAACCGATGCATGCCAACAACCCACATTACTGGCCACCATACAATTTTTATTTCTGCAGTTAAGGAGTTAAGGAGTTGCATTTATATGTCTTACTATGTGGATGTATATACTTCTTTTCAATAATAATATATCTCTCTATCCATATATATATTATACCTATACATACATTCATACATATATAATATATAATATATATATATATATATATATATATATATATATATATATATATATATATATATATATATAATATATATATATATATATATATATATATATATATATATATATATATATATATATATATATATATATATATATATATATACATATATACATACATATATATACATACATACACATACATATACACATTCATATACATATATGCATATACATATATGAATATACATACATAAATACATACACACACATATAAACTGGCAGTTAATACGAAATTTAGTATGTAGTATTACCCTATAAATCTAACACATTCTGGCAAGTTTTCTCTAGCACCCCCCACCCTACCATTTCCATTCCCCTTGAACCCAATCTACTCTAATGCCAATCATACAGGTAATAATGTTTGTGCCTATTTCTCAACCCCATACTGTAGTCACAAGGATACACATAATGTGTAGTCAACCAGCTCTAAGTTGTGTGCCCTAAACAGTTATTTTCTTGTCTGTCTCTCAGTGTAGGTGTTCAGGAAATAAAGCCCCTCAAAAGAATCATCTATGTCACATCTAATCATATTCCCTATGCTTTTAATTTCTTGCTCAAGTGTTTGAGTTACCATCACCATTGGGCTATTGCATTATGAAATGGCATATTTTATCCAGACATATCGTTCAGTATTTTCTCTTCCCTATTTTCTTGCCAAGAAGTGTAAAATCACATTTCATATGGCCATCTCTTTCTTTCCTGTCTCTTCTTTACCATAGATAAATAAACAGAGATTTTATTGCTTTATGTATATTTCACTTAAGTCTTTTTTAATAGTTTTCTCATTTCCACTTATGTGTGATTAATATCTGTATTACCTTTTTTCATCTTTGATGCTCCACTGCAGCATGTGTTTTACTTGAGACATAAAATAAACTCTTTAGTGAGTAAAATCTCTCTTGAAATATTAATCTACTCATGTTAGACGACACCAAATCACATTATGGTGAACTAGGCCCAAATGCTGGGTGACTTTGACAAGTACCCATGTTATGTGGGTCTCGCCTGTATAAGTTGTGCATGCTAAATAGTTATTGATTTATTTGGTCTTAACCCTATCGCGATGGGTGTCCCATATATGAGACACCCGAATAAAATAAACAATGCTGGGCGTCCCGCCAGTGTGACGCTGTATCGGGGCTGTGCTCCGACGCAGCAGCGGGCAATGGCCGGTGGGCGGACAGACTACGGGGATGCTCCGCCCACCGATTTTGTAGCCGCCCAGAATATTTTTATTTTGGCTACAAAATGTACCCGTCATGAATGGGTTAACAGTAATCACAGTGGAGATACAGCCCCACACAAGTAGGCTCAAAGTCTATAATTAGCCCCATTTCCCACAAAATCATCAAATCTACTTTAGCCGAATATGTAGTGTAGGGTAAACCTATGTTTCCCATGCTTCTAATCACACAAGCAGGCTCAAAGTCTGTTATTAGCCCCATTTCCCAAAAAATCATCAAATCTACTGTAGCCGAATATGTAGTGTAGGGCAAACCTGTGTTTCCCATGCTTCTAATCATTCACTGAGTGGATGAATCCATGTGAAACCTAACACATGACTCAGTAAGGTATGGGGTTATCCCCCTGTGGATGGGTTAAAGACCAAATTGAGATGACTTAACCCAATAACTGCAGTATAAAAAGTTGGTTAGTGGCCATATGTGGTCAATGGTGCTCCTAGGCAGTTTCTCTTTGCCCCATGCTCATCCAGTACTTCAAGCACAGTATTAGGTGCCTAATACCTTGTAGCTCTATTTCATAAACAGAAGTTAAAAGACAAAGGTTTCCTTTCACTTTTGCCAGAATCTAATAGTGCCATCAACACAAATGATGTTGCTATAACTGGAGAAAGATGAGCTCCCTCTGATGAACTGATGGAGAGGGTATGTCATTATATAGTGCTATCAACAACTTGGTCCACTACTCTATTGTATATCACACCATCCAAAGTTATAAGGTTAATAATTAGAATAGATGCATGTGGAAATTATAAAATTCTAGTTTTCAACTACATGCAAAAAGAAGAAAAGATTGCATGTATTTCCTATTGCTTGATAGTTCTACTAAAAAAGCCAGGTGGGAATTTTTACATTCCATCTACTCTACACTGCAAACTGCTAACAATACTTTTTACAAATAACAGTCCACTACAATACCATGTTAATTTCCTAATTGCTTTGATA